AGCCGCGCAACGCCCCGTCAACACGGCACCCAGACCCCACGCAGCATTCTCATCTGTTTGTCCCATGGTCAGAACACGTAACTTGAACGTGTCGGGCAGCGCGGTCCCGTGGGTTAGATGCGCGTTCATAATGCCGAGGAAAATAACTCTCAGATTAACGTTATTAGCACATTTTACAACTTGAGGACCGAATGTTTTTAATAAGGGCTATACAAACGTTCATACTGGGTTGTTTATTTCGTTTAAAAAAAAGTATCCAACGATTTACAGACCACTCTTTCCCCATGTAAATCAATGGGAAAAAGTGTTTCCGGGCCCAGCAACCTAAAGGAAGTGTAGTACCGCCGTTTGGCCACAACGAATATTCTCATCAGAGTCCGGCGCACTTCCTGTAGGCTTGGGACAAACCATGGTTTGTCCTTACTGGTGTCATTTTCTGGTTGCTAACGCCATTGTGACACATAATCACTGGTGTTCTGCTGTAACGGTGGTAGACTCATCAGAGCACAGTGGGAGGGAGGGGCAGGAGCTCCAACAAGCCGTTTAGGACAGAGAGTGAATACACAGAGATGCTGTCTGAGAAACCAATGTGAGTTTGGAAAATTGCACAATATAAATCTATTCTAGTATACCTCAACAATGGAATTATGATCAGCAGAAATGGCCATGACATGGGACCTTCAATAAAGGTTGGATAGTTGACATACTTTTGGTAGTATCCTGGCGCTCTGTAGCTTCACTCTGCAGCGCCATCTGGTGCTGCCTGTGGGAAAGATACAGCTTGATAAGGATATTATAAAAAGTGACAAAATGTCAGCTCAGTTTATGAGCCATATGCACTCATAGCGCTCTCTGCTGGGGATCAAGCAGGACTGCAGCATTAAAGTGGGAAAGACAGGGGCCCTTTCTCATTTCTCTAACTCCCCTCCTCGACTCCCCTCCTCGATAGTTAGTCCCGCCCACAGGAGATGCGAGCGGAGGAGCCGAGGAGGGGAACCGAGGAGAGAGGAGGGGAAGCAGCAGGCGGTTAGAGAAATGAGAACTCCTCTCTGAGCGGTCATTTTAAAGAGACGTCCATTAATGATGACAGGAGGCACAGCAGTCCTCTGTCTGATGGACAGATGTGTTCATGACGACTTATATATTTACTTTTAATTCATTCACAGTGCGGTATAATGACACAATAACAGGCTACAGATGCGGACACACACACATAAATATATGTATATATTTATATAAATATATACAATTTCAAAATCAAACAGAGCACTCTCATAATAACGTCACACTATCAGAGACTGGATATAATTTCCGGGTCACTACCGGAGGACCGAGGAGTCGAGGAGGGGGATTTGATGAAATGAGAAAGGGCCAAGGTTTCAATGGCTCATGCATGGATTCACAACAATAACAAGAAACACCTTAGTATCACTCTAAATAAAATCTCATCATTCATACACATAATTGATGATACATAGGCAAGCATTTTAAATCGGATGACAGAGAGCTTCTGCAGCTTGTGTCATATTCACCAGATTGTTTTTAATGCCAAGAAAAATGTATGATAACCAAATTTTTGAGCTGCACATATAGCCTTCAGTAAAACCTTTCAAACACTGTTTCAGCTTGACCTGAGGGCTGAGGCAGTAATAAAAGAACATGTGCCACTGATTTCTGCCCTGGCATCGACCAGCAGAACAGCTGAGTGATGACGGTGTTATCAATGCAGCGCTCCACCCAGGGGCGGACTGGGACTAAAAATCAGCCGGGGAAACTCGACCGGCCGACCTGCCCAACTCGTCCAAACTGTACTTGTCTGTTTTGCATGCTTGCCATAATGTCCCCTGGCACGCACACTGCTTGTCCCCAGGTTATGTCACATTCCTGCGAACATGTCGGGACAGAGTGCTCACCTGAAACCAGAATAATAATCACATGCACCCTCTTCCCATTCAGCACAGGAATGCTTTCACTCCATGATTGCTGGAAGCTTCTGCCAGAGAAAGAGGCTTGTTTTAGCTGGCTAACAACACACCTGTATCCTCCTCTCATACCTGCCATCGCCAGCTCCACTTCCTAACCTGATTACTGGCTGTTACTTTTGGATGACCTCTACATCAAACGCAATGCAAATCAATAATAGAGACAGAAATATCAATGTTTTTTACTTCAGTGTTTTATGTAAGAAAATAGAGCAACGTAACTTTAGGAAAGAGGAAACCATAAAGGATATTTTGGATAAAAAATGTGTCTTTATTTAGGCTAGACTTACAGAATAGTAGAGCTTACAACAACTATATAGGATACACAAATTAAATCAGGTATCCATGTACTGCATTAAAAACATAAAATTAAAGTAGCCTAAATGAAAACGAACCTGAATTTTGAATTTAACTTTATTGATAGATCCTGCAAGTTATCAGTAATCTGATTACATATTTGTTATGTGACTGTAAGGGAATACTTTGTTTGTATCCTGATCAGGTAATCCCACTACATGTAATCCATTACTCCCCAAAACTTGTAGAGTACCCAGTCATGGCAGTGACATGTGGAATTTTTCATTACCTCGCCCCGGGGGCACAATGATGTCTGTGCCTGTGTATCGTGCAGGTTTTTTTCCACCCCTGCCCTCTCTCTCTCTCTCTCTCTCTCTCTCTCTCTCTCTCTCTCTCTCTCTCTCTCTCTCTCTCTCTCTCTCTCTCTCTCTCTCTCTCTCTCTCTCTCTCTCTCTCTCTCTCTCTCTCTCCTCTCTCTCTCTCTCTCTCTCTCTCTCACACACACACACTGTCACTCTCCCTCTGTGGTGTTATTGTGAGTCAGCCGGTGTTGGCTGGGTTTGTTGTTTGTGGTTCAGTTGTGGGGCAGTGGTAGTGGTCTGAGAGCTCCATGGCCTGTCGACCCCCCGGCTCTGCCTCCTACACCGTGGTTATCATTCCGCTCAGGAGCAGCCTCTACAGCCTGGACGCTCTGCGCTTCTACCTATGGGTGAGTAGGGAGGTTGTGTGTGTGCGTGTGTGTGTGTGGTGTGTGTGTGTGTGTGTGTGTGTGTGTGTGTGTGTGTGTGTGTGTGTGTGTGTGTGTGTGTGTGTGTGTGTGTGTGTGTGTGTGTGTGTGTGTGTGTGGGGGTGGGGGGGGGGGTGGGTTTATGAACATGCTTTTTAATCAGGTACATCTCTTTGAGTGTGCTTCTCAACAGTTGAGGATTCTTATCGGCTAATGTGTGTACGAACATGTGTTTTGTTTCCCAGTTTTCAGCACCAATGACTATAGTTATACTGTAAAAGCTTACTGTACATTGTAAAAAGCTTACTGCTTCTCGAGTGTCACCAGTTGGAAATATATGGACACGGAATGTTCACATGACATTTCCTATTCCTCTGGAATGTGGAACTAATTATTAATTTGAGTCATCCTGTGAAATAGTTCACTTTTTAAAATTCAACTGATACTAAAAGAGATTTCTATAGTCAATTTAAACACACACATTCACAATAAAGGCCTTAACATGATTTTGACTAATCTAAACGTGTTTGAATTGAGTTATTATATTAATATTACATGGAAGAAGTGTCAACAGGAAGGCAGAATCATTTGAATTTTTTAAAATACTAATAATTATTCCAACTTCCTGCAATACACACCCTTTAAAAAGATTACATTTTAAATCAGTAGTAGTGTTTTTAATATTATGAATAGATCCAGACTTACTGTTAAATTATCTTTCCTGTACACTTTACATCACATAGTGAAGGAAATAATGCAGCTCGAAAGCATTCTCCACACTGCAATAAATACACTTCTTGCTGGTAAATCCTGTATTTATTATATTCATGTTGGTAGTAATCACACTGTAGTCGTCGGCTTTTAAAATAAGTTTTTATTGGGAAATGAAAAAGATAGATGTACGATGACTAAACTGGCAAATGACAGCTCGACTGAATAAATCATGTAAAAACAGATACTGGACATTTAACCTAGGTGCTTGTAAAGTCCCTCTGTTTTAAATCAGTTTTGTTGCTCCAGTGTTATTTCGAAGGTAGCTGCAGTCATCTCGGTGATACATTCCCACATGTCAAGTCTGCCTCTCACAGCTTCCTGTTAAAGGCTGAATATAACCAGTTTTTCAACTACTGTAAATGTGTTATTATAAGAGTTGTCAAGATTTGAGATTGCTATAATAGCTGTAAAATCTTATCTTATAATAAATAACAGGGAGCTTGTGGGCATGTCTTGAAGTATGATTAGTCACACACAGCTAAATGAATAATTAATTAGTTATACAACACTGTCATGAGTTTCTAACGTCCTCTTAATCCATGTGATTGCCTTAAAACCAACTGTAACCCGATGACAGTAGAGGTGTATCACCACCACCCTACAGTATGTTATGATTGCCTGTCCGTTGTTAGCTCTGTGTGTGCCCATTTAAACAGCATGTTTTCCAGAGAGCGGGGACAAAAGGACTACAGGCCCCCTGCTGCTCTGTAGATTGGCTCCACTGATTCAAACAAAGCCTCTGGGCCTCTGGAAGACAACAGGCATTAGTGCATTAGTCAGCCCCATGGTGCCATCAAACACACACAAACACACACACCTCACAAAACTGTCTGTACCTCCAAAATAAACATTTATGATTTTGTTTCTGGGAGGTTTCCTGCTTTTTTCAACTGTGGAAATGTGACCGGAAGAGTCTGGATACTGTCTATGAAAGATAAAAAAATAAATGTATGGGGGTGATATGAAGTACTTATCCATAGTGAGTTTTATGTACATAGATGGTGTTCGACCTGCCACCAGTTTGGAGAAACAGGAAGTACTACTGGCACAGAGGCTATGTCCTGCTTTGGAAACAGGCAGAAATACATTTTAGCCACCTAAACAAGGACCCAGCCTTAAAACATTTGGTTTCAGTTAAAGTATTTGCTATATTTAGAAAATGCTCACTACTTTACCTTGCCATTGGACTGCTTTCTCGTCGGGAACTACATCTGTTTCCTAAGCTTTTTTGAAAAGCAACCAGACTCCATTGACAAAACTAAGATTTTACCTCTCAGAACCTGGTAATAGCTGGTTAACCAATGGGAGAGTTTATTTGAATAAGGTAAAATTGCAATTTTTATCAAAGGAGAATGGTGTCTTTGGCCAGAGCATAAATAACAAATTCAGCGTACCATACGAAAACGAGGTTGGCGACAAGGTAAAGGTTAAATACTCTTAATATAGCGTATATATTGGGTGCAGTCAACAACCCTAGTTGCTCTCGTTGGCATGTCAACAGAACTTTAGTGGATTGAAAAAACTGAACCGTTCACTTTAACTAAATGTTTTATGTCAACAGATTTCACATAAGTGTATTAGGTTGAACTGAATATTTGTTATTTGAACTTCATATTATTGCTTTCAATGAACCTAATACATTTATGTGAAATCAGTTGACATGATACATTTAATTAAAGTCAACGTTTCAGTTTTTGAGTGTTTATATAAGCCACTTTGGACAAAGGCGTCAGCCAAATGGCATCTAAGGTAAATATGTAAAGCATACTCAGACATAAATACATGTTTATTTGCTGATTCCACAGTTCACAGTACATTCTTAGCTTCCTTTCAAGTAGCCTACTGCTTTCTGTTTCTCCAGACTGGGGGTACCTCCTGCTGTGGGTGATACACAGTGACGTAACAAGGTTGTGATTGGCCCCGGTGCACATATTGTTTTGCCCCCCCGCCATCGCCCCAAACATAAGCGCAAGCTGATGCGCTCACACATGCACGGACATACACAACCACGCAGAAAGCGCCACATGTATAGGCTATCAACAACAACCTGCCCTGGCCTCAGACCACCACAGCCTGACAACGTCACAGCGAACTAAGAAGAGGATTAAACCTGTTTCCTTCATGTGTGTCTCTGGGGAATGGGCCGGTAGGCCTACATAGACCGGTTGCTATAATATAGCTTTTCATCTTGGCGTCGGGGGTCTCAATAGCGCCATAGAGTCCCCTATCGGTTGGGGCCCTTGGGGGAACTGTTGGACCACCGCCGGGCACAGCCAAATCCAGCCTCTCCTCCTGGCTGGCTGGAGAAGAAGGTTGCACAGCCACGGATACAGCTTCACTTGTGGAGCTAGATGGCAATGATGGTGGTGAGGCAGGTGAGCTATCGTTAGCCGTCAGCTGCCGCTGCACGTCAACATTGCTAACGTTAGCGCTCGATTTCGAGGACGATGTATGACAAAAAAAGCGGTCTAATTTTGTCAGTTTAGCTGTTACATCTCCTTGTTCTCTCTTGTCCTTTCTCTTTTGAGCACTGCTCTTGTGCTTTGGTTTGCTGTACATTATAAATGCAAGCTATTACATTTTTTATAATGCTGCCGAACTTGCTGCTGCTAGCTACAGTACAGTATCAATCAATCAATCAATGTTTATTTATATAGCCCAATATCACAAATGTTACATTTGTCTCAGTGCACTTCACAGTTTGTACAGAATATCAGTATGACAATACGACACCCTCTGTCCTTAGACCCTCACATCGTACAAGGAAAAACTTCCAAAAAAGTAAAAACCCCACAGTTTAAAGGGGAACAATGGGAGAAACCTCAGGGAGACCAACAGAGGAGGGATCCCTCTCCCAGGACAGACAGACGTGCAATAGATGCCGTGTGTAAATAGTACAGGTTGATTAAACGGTTCGCTCGTCACACATATCACATGTCATGAAAGGGAGCAAGGTCATTGGACAGACAAATTACAAATTAATTTAGGTTGCTTGGTTACTTTGAAGACTGCGTGAACCGGTCAATGCCATTGGGGCCCCAAAAAAAATGGGCCTCTGGCCGGCTCTGGGCCCCGGTGCGTTGCACCGTCGATAGTTACGCTACTGGTGATACACCTATGTTTAAGTAGGCCTACCTTTATTAAACCCCACTTCAAACATCCTGACGAATCTTTAAAATTCACATGATTGAGAGGTTTTCCTCCCACCTCAGGTTAAGCGTCTGAAGGACTTGGAGCAGGAGAAGGACGCTCTGTGCTCGGGCATGGAGGTTCTGGAGAAGGCCCGCCTCTGGTACCTCCAGCAGCTGGATGAGAACCGAGCCAGGCAGGGCAGCTTCCAGACCCAGCAGAGTGGGGTCAACCCCCGGCAGGACGGAGCAGCAGAGGTAGGAGGCGGGGCGAGTGCATGGCCTCATTGACTTTACAAATCATAACTCCGTGTACTGTCACTCATGGTGTAAACGCCCGCCGCCCTGCGTCTCTGCAGGCCTGGTCTTGCCTCCTCAGGTCTCGGATCCAGCGGGTGAACGGCTCTCTGGGCTCTGTGATGACTGAGCCCGTGACCAGCGGCAGCAGTGCCTCTCTGCCCGACGCAGTGTCCGACAGCAACCTCCGGTGGCAGAACACAGCACTGGTTCAGGTGAGGAGAGCAGAAAATGTGGGAAATGTTATTACTGTAAACCAGGGCTGTCCAAACTTTTTCCCCGAGAGCCACATACAGAAAAATATACAAAGGGCTGGACCACTCACTAGAGGTATATTGCCTCATAAGTTCAGTTATAAGTTAGCAAAATCAATCAAATGTAGGCAAATTATGCTTGTGAGTGTTGGCAGCTCATCCCTTAAAACAGAAGCCTCAGATTGATTATAATAAGGAGAAATAGGTTGTGTTAACACATGAATACTACTGTGTAATATATGTTTACATTTATATTTAAGAAGTACAATAAGACAAACACAAGTTTCATTTGTGGGCCATATTCCATTATACTTTTTTTATTTGATGAGGGCCGATTCAAAATGGTCCGCAGGCCGCATAATGCCCCCGGGCCGTAGTTTGGACACCCCTGCTGTAAAGCTTGAAAACTGTTCAAATGCGTTTTTTTTATAAAGTCCAGTTTTGTTACTCTCTTTAGAAATGATTTTGCTTTTAAATGTTTCCCCCCCTTTCATTTTCCTTTTTATTCAAATGATGCCTTTGTTTAAATTTGCAATAATTTCTGATCGATTGGTCTGTTTGCTTCTTTTTGATGTGGCCATTGTTTCCATATTTTTGACAGGAGGTGAGCGACAAGAACCGTAAGATCTCACTTTTGGAATTCGAAAAAGACACCATCCTTGAGCAGCTTGATGAACTGCAGGCACGTTAATCACATCATTTCACTTCATGTCACACATTTGCTAACTTATACCCACTTGTAAATATGTATTTAATTTAATAAATTACACTTACGGATGCATCATTGGCTTCTGTGTAATCCTTCAAGAACCAACCAGTTTTTGCTGAATCACTGAAACTTGACTGACCTGATTTTGTAACTTTATTATAACCAAGCCCTATTGTAATTATGCATCATTATAATATATTATGATACTCATTTTCTTCTCCTTACTCCAGTAGTTCACTTAATAAAAGAGATGCAGGGAGTGGACAAAATGATCAACTATATACGTCAATATTTAGGGGCGAATCTTTCAAACAATTTTGAGAAATGTGTTCTTTTTGAGAATTTCCATTTTATAAAATAAGATGTATTTCTAAAGATGGAACTACCAAAAGGTATATAAAGAAGTTTAACCTTCAAGTACTGCTTACATCTTAATGTATCTGCAACAATGATCCAATAATGCAATACATGACACTGATAGTGAGCATTCTGTGTGAGTACCATTACTTTTGACACTTTAAGTACATTTTCTTGCTAATATAATTGCAATGTTGTTTACTAGTGTAGCTCATAAATACATTATTTTCCCACAAATGCAATGTAAACAACATTATGCAACACTTGCTTCAACCACTTATACAGGTATCTACTGAAAATGGAGGGTTGTAAAATATCTTCTTTTTTAATAATCCCAAATGGTGGACATTTGTCAGCCTTGATAGTAAATGAGCATTTACAGTGTAATAAAATTCAGCTGAGAAATTGTTTAAGCTAAAGTGCATCAACATATTTTCCCCGCATCACTGTGTGTCCTGTTACTCGCATTTGTTCCGTTTCCGTCTCTGAATGTGGGCTCTGTGTCTCGACACGTTGCAGAAACCTTACCCGGTGGTCCCGCACTGATCTTATTGAACTGATAAACGTTATCTATCTAAGTCATCGTGCATGTTAGCAGGTATTTTCTCTCCTGCACAGCACTAATCTGCAGCCTTAAACACAGAAGGCAACACTAGCAGGCTTATCAAAGAACTCTAATCTGTCACACACACAGGAGTCCTCTGATCATGTTATTTTAGATATGTATTTCCCCCATTTCAATAATCCATTCCCTCCTCCATCTTGGTTGATTATTCCACCCGTGGATGGATTTTTTAACCGGAGCAGGAATCCAAAGTGTCAGGGGCCCAACTGGCCTTCACCTATAATATGTAAGTCAAAGATGCATGTACCAACGAGGGATAAACTCAAATGACCAATAAGATACATATCCAACAACACAGAGATGCAGAACAGCTGCAAAGAGACCACAACAAGACTCAACAATTATGAAAAGGAAAAAAACTACAAAAAATAGACCTTAGGCAACTATAAAGAGTCCAAAAATAATGACAAAATAGACATGCAAAACACCTTTTTAAAAAACTACCAATAGACTTAAAAGGACAGAAAGACAGAAAATGACTTTAAAGTCACAAAACAACAACAAAAAGAGGCTAAACAAATGACTGGTCCCAGGGGCCATTGTCAAATGTTTTGCTCATGATTCTACTTTTTCTTTTGACTACATTTTCATATTTTATGCTTCATATCCTTAATGTAAGGTATAATGTAAAAGATATTGTCTATGTGTGTTGACTCCAAGATATCAGAGTAAGTATGCAGTCTGTAATGTGTTGTATGTGTTAAGACTACAAGGTTATTGTGGCATAAATAGATTCACCAAGATGATAACATAAATCAGTTGATATGATCCTTATCCATTACCGAAACATATCATCTTTTCTTCTGGCTTTTGTACTAAATCAGATTCATGCATTCGCAACTATACCTTCCAGTAAAGTGGAGCAATGCCTGTAAGGAATATGTGCAGGAATGAGATTAAAATCAGCGCGTGAGCTTCCGGAGAGAAAACATCCATTATAGCCGAGGCTTTCATTTAAGTAGCTCCATGTTCCCTATCTTCAGAATGCCACTGAACCATCCAGCCCGGGTACCAGCACTTGGATAATTATTGGGTCTAATTCACAAACTGCACAGCCCAACACCTTTGTTATGTCACACCTTCGTGGAAAGCAATGCCTTTCTTCAGCAGCAACACGGTTCACTTGCACGGCACTCTGCTGGTCTCTCCAAACTCCTTCTACTTGTATACAATATCATGTTTACTTTCCCCCCCCCAATTTGTGGTTTGGGTTTTTCTGAAAATCTGAAATTGTGAGCTGTTTCCGTGCAGGTCAGCGGAGGTGGGAAGTATAAACACACAAACATGGCTGCCTGAGAAATGCATTCTTTAAGCTATTAGGGGGAGAAGCTTCCTGAGATATACGGTGCCGTCCGTACAGTAGGTGGACTTTGAAGAGCACTTAAGGAATACTTAGTTTGAGGTGTCGTTTCTGTGCTTCAGGGACCAGTTGAGCCTACTAGTTATTTAAAGCCTGATAGCATTTTTTCTTCTGTTGGGTAACATATTTATATTACAATCTCAATCAGTACTAGACACTATAAATGTGATCCATTTATAGTAATTGTATTTTGTCTATTGTCTTATTTGATTCCCTTTTTCCCTTTTATTTGTAGGTTATACTGTCATGTCTTGATATAGGTTTGTTATTTATATTGTTTTTCCTGTATTCAATACAATGATAAAACAAATATTTGGTTAGCCCACACAAATTAAGGAAACGTAATATGTAAAGTATTGAGATGACATGCTCAACCTGTCAAATGTACCACAAAAAAGGCATAATTCTTCTTTTTACATTTATTTTTGAATTCTTATGCATAATATTCTCGTGTAATGTTTTGTTCTATGTTTTTTGCTAAATTTACCTCATTCAATTTATAAAGTATGGTCAAGATAAGATTTTTTCTTTTTTTTCCAATAACCGAATAATACAAGTTTAAAATGAATCAAGGATATTTTAATCTGAAATCAACAGCTTTTTTTCATGGTTGTTTGTCCTGAACCCCCCCAAATGTAAACAAACGATGTTGATTAATGCAGACTGAATACAATCAGATAGTGAATTGTTTCCATTTGGCATGTTTTACTTTCTCCAAAATGTAAATAATGTACAGCAGATCACAGAAAGAGATACACTTAATATCAGTAAACAATTTCCTCACTGTCGTTGAGGCCAGTTTTGGATTCTCCACCACTGTTGCACTCTGTCCTCTGCGGCAGCGACGCACGAGTACGCGCGTTTCCAACGAGTGGCATCTCCATCCCGGACACGTTTAAGTCAAGCTGGCTCTGCAGGTGTTTGATATAGTCAATAGCAGCACGCAGGGTCTCCACTTTGCTGAGCCGCTTGTCCTCAAACTCCTGCGGCAGATGCTCTCTGAGCCGTGCGTAACCTTCGTTTACGCAGCGCACTCGGTGCCGCTCCCTTTCGTTCCTTTTCCGGATAAAAGCAGGTTCAAAGGAATAATCACACACACCAAAGGGGACGTGGAAAGGGAAATAAGTTAGCCGTCTGTAGGGTAACCTCTGGCCGTGCACTGGGTCCAGATATGCGTCCAGGTGGAGGGGCAGTCGCAGCCGAAGTGCATCCTTGTAGTGTGCTCCACTGTTTTCCATAGAGAAGCCGTGGAGAGCCAGTGGAGGGATGAATGGAGTATGCTCCATTATATCCTTACATGTGAGACATCTTTCTAATAGAAAAATGGAAAAATTAAAGTACATAGCGGTTGAATATGAAATAAACTGTGTGCCATCAATGCAACTTACCCTGCCAGAGTCTCCTCAAAGTAATCTCATGTTTTCAGCAAGAGTTTTCTTTTTATTGTGATTAAATATCTAAGTTGTGATCTTCTATAAGTGGGCACTTCTTCATCGGGTAAATGTTCAGTCTGTGTGTCATCTTGTTGGTTTGGCTTTTGAGGCTGGAGCCTGGAGGCATGGTGGGTGTGATCCGGGGCGGAGATGCAGAGTGGTTTTCTCATCAAGATAAAACTGTTTATATAACCTTTCTTCCTTCCGTTCACACTGTGAAGCAACTCATCATGGAAATGTACACTGCTGACTTTTTCATTGTAAATGTCTTGCAAATGTAGGCAACATATAAATACTTTTTATTTGCTGTGTACAAATATGATCATTCAAGCCAGTTTACTCTTGGACTATAATTGTAAAAGGTAACATAACACCTAATAATTAATATATTTCAAACGATGAGTTTTTGAAATTAAAATGATTTGACCATTCACCTTTCAAGATTGCATATAAACTGAAATCGAGATTGTTTGAGGCTTTATTAGCATAATTGAAAAGGACCTTTTGGGGGTAAGATTTGTATTCACACCCATATCTATGATAAATTCGCCCGCTGTTTATTTTTAATTTTTAAAACAGTACGAACAAAGTTTTAAACAAAACACAAAAAGTAATATTTGTATTTGTTATATCAATTTTGATTATATATAAAAAGATCCCAGTAATAATAATGACAGTATTCGTTCGTTGAAGTAATGAAACTCTTACTAAGTTATAATGTTGTCACATAAAGGTGGGGTAGGTAAGTTTCCGAAACCGGCTCGAGATACACTTTTTGTTATATTCCATGGAATGCTCTTAACATCCCGATAGCAATGAATATCTTAAGTGCTTTGACAAAAAATCCATAAAAAAATTTCATCTGTGGAAGCCGTAGTACTGTAAAAAGCACGACCAATCATTTTAGCCGGCCCGGCTAAACAGATTGGATTGCCGCCCTGTCTGTCAGCCTTCCATCTCGTGCACGCACAAATGTATCTCGTGCCCTCATTGGGCGTGCCGTAATTGGACGTGCATTGCGCGTTCATGTGTGTTGGAGGAGGTGCTCTGTAAGGAAGTCTGAAGGAAGGTGCGGATTCTTTTCGGCTGTGTACTTTCACATTTTAGTGCACTCGAGCCGGTTTCTGAAACTTACCTACCCCACCTTTAAGTCATTAATTATATATGAAAAGTTTGGAATAATGACATACATATTTGTTTTTCCCATCACATTGGCAACAATTGTCTTCCATACAATAAAGCCACCTGACGATCCGCCGCTTTTCGTGAATCGGGAGAGTGGAGGACCGAAAATCTGACCTGAGATCAGCACAACACACATTCACTCTTACAGCTGCGCATGCGCACTAGAAGCAGAATACTGTCATGGCCCCGTGCAGGGAACTATTGTGCTGGTATGTTTTTATTTTCAAGTCGCACTCCTTTTCATATAAGACATATATTTGCAATGGAGCTTCACATTCGGTGGTAACAGCTATTTCTGCAGCTAAAACGCATGATAATTCTTAGTTTTGACGATCTATGTAGATATAAATTAGCAAGGCTAATGTTAGCATTGTAACAACACTGGTTGAAGGTACTTGCAAAAATGTCGCTTAAATGTTATTCTATCTTTAATTTTAGCTGCTTGAAAGGAATATCTATAAGAAGTGTGAATTGTGTGTCGTTTCAGGTAATGTTGTTGTTATACCAGGTGTTTTATTTCACAGGGAGAGACGAATAAAAGCACCATTCAGCAGTACATGGTTGATGATGGACAGTTGTTGAATTCAGGTAACGTTGCTTACGTGTATTAACTATGTGTGTCTCTACATCAGGGGTGCCCAACCTTTTTTGAACCGAGAGCTACTTTTAAAGTTGCCAGTCTGCCGAGATCTACCAGTCCAAATAGAGAGGCGTAGCCATTACTACCAGGTAAATACACACTTCTACTTGAATAAAACTGACCTTTGTACAATTAATACTTCATAAAATACTGCAGATGCTTTATCTTACCTCTTTCTAATCTACACACATACAAGTATTTAACTGAAGTTACACAACAATGTTGTTGATACAGAGTTGGAGTTTATTCACACGTCACATACTACAGTGGGTGATGTTTTCAAGAAACATTGAACAGTGCTGCCACATATGACACAGAAAAAAAGAAAATACTCTGAACTCTTTCTTTGCCATTATATCAAAATAGTGTTGCTACAAAAGTAGTAGTTAGTTAGCAGTTAGCAGTTAATTAGTTAGGCTTACTAATAAGACAACTCAGATCTGAAGCTACACAGGAATCTGCTGCCAAAGTGCAATAAAAAAGACCAAATTAATAGAATCAAACCCTTTTTTTGTTGCATTTTAGTAGAGTATAAAAAGAAATGCCTTTTAAAATAGGATGCAAGCAACACTAGTTTCTTAACCTGAATTGATAATGGACTATAATCAATTTAAGTTTGCATTCTTATACCATTTTGTACAATAATTATAATGAATAAGTTCAAACAAACTAAAACTTACAGCTGATTAATAACGGTATCTAACTTGAGTTTTTATTATATCAAAAACCTGTTGAAATGCTACTGTTATTTTTTACTGTCCCCCAAAAGCGCGTCGGCAGCCTCCAGGAATGCTTCTTACACAACTTCGCCGTCTTTGAAAGACTTCATGTGTTTTGCAAGAACGTGACTGACACGATAAGATGCTATGGTAGCAGCCTTGCTCTTGTTGTTGGGCCGGGTGAAAATGGACTGCTGTGCATTTAGCTGTCCTTTCAGGCCCCTCCCCTTTTGGAGCGTAGGGCAGAATTAGGAGGGAATTCCGTCTCGTAGCGTTTGTGCACTGTTTTGAAATGCCGCTCCTAAATTACCCTTCTTCGATAAAGCCACGCTCGCATTGCAGATGAGACAGATGGACTTTGAATTGGAATAGATACACAAATAATCATCCTCCCACTCGGAGTGAAAATTATATATGTTGGGCTTTTTTGCTTCTGCCATAATTGCGGTCTTGTGTGTGTGCGGACTGTCACTCCTGTTGACACGGACAATGTCAGCGAACTAGTGCACTGCCCACCAGCCACGCCCCGACACAGGGGTCACGCTGGCCAATCACAAAGCTTTGATGCGTTCAAGTGCATTATTCTGGCACAGGAAGATTATGGCATAGGACGTTAACGATAAAACTGAATATTGTTGTTCTATTTTTAGACACATCTCGCGATCGACTGGGAATCTCCCCGCGATCGACCGGTCGATCGCGATCGACTGGTTGGGCACCCCTGCTCTACATGCTAACAATTACATAAGGGCTCAATAAATCAACAATGAAGACCGACAAAATAGACTTAATCTAAGTGTTTCTAATAGCTAACAGTGTGTAAACAGCAGCCAATATCCCACATTGTTTGCATGGTATTTAGCTTGCTGTCCTATAGATGGATAGATAAATACTTTATTGATCCCAAATTGGGAAAATGTGCAGCAATTGAAATATAGACATATACTGCAGTAATATAAACACATACTGTAGGATAGTATATCAATTACAGATTTTCAAGGTAGATTTTGTGCACATTGTTCATGGTTATGGAGAGGGAGAAACTAAAACTATAGAGCAGTGATTTATCTGCCAGCCAGAGGTGAGGTGTTGTAAAGTGTTTTGCTATATCTGTCATTATGACAGCGGGGCTGGAGCAGTCTGTTATTGCTCTGTCTCTGGAGTAACTCTGCTGTTGTTTCTTCAGGATGAACAACATTAACCTGAGTCCTGTGAGCATGGACCAGCTCAGTGTGCCCTCAGTGAGTGCCAGCCACCTGGGTCTGCCCACCTCCCCCACACACAACCCCATTCCCACTCCAGGTATGAATGACGCGACAAGCCAGGCATGTTTGCTCAAACAACGCACTATAGCAAGACCTACTGTGACAAGACAAAGCATCACGTGATCAGCAACTGTCCAAATTGAAGTTAAAGAGAGGCAAAGCATTATATTCGTCACTTGTTATGTTTGATATAGAGGAACATCAACTTTTAAACTATATGAAATAGTTATTGGGCATTAATCTTTGTTGGATTAGATATTAAGGATCTAGTCTCAGGCTACTGATTTCTTTCTTTTCTTTGCTAAAATTATTCTTGTTTTAATTTCTTTTTTTATATTTCAGGCATGCCAGTGGCCATCCCCAGCCTGGGTCCTTCCCTGGGATCCCTCCCCTCGGCCCTCTCGCTGATGCTCCCCATGGGTCCGCTGAGTGACAGAGGAGTGATGTGTGGTCTGCCGGAGAGGAACTACTCTTTGCCTCCGCCTCCGTACCCCCACCTGGAGAGCAGCTACTTCCGACACATATTGCCAGGTACTGTAATATTAGAATAATAGAATGAAATATGTATATAAATATAACAAATTAAAGTAAAAATCTGCACATTTTACTACAATATATGCTATTTATATTATAATATATACAGTGTTGTATTATTAGATATTAGTCATTCTTATTGCCAGTGTATTGACAGGCAGGAATGACATTCTTTGTTGCATCGTGGTAGAATCAGTCTTACACTGACGCTATTCCTGTTCCTCATTAGAGGGGCATGAAGTGACAGTAATCACGTTCCCTTTTTCTTTCCTGCTGTAGGTATCCTGTCCTATCTGGCAGACCGTCCACCCCCTCAGTACATTCATCCCAGCAGCCTCAACATGGATGGGACCCTGTCTGTGTCCAGCAACAACCCCTCAGGTCTGGATCACTACAGTGGCCCCGGAGGCCCCCTGGAGCAGGGCCTGGTGCCCATGGACTCCAGACAGGTCAGCGGCCAGGGGGACCTCCACCAGCCCGGCCCTCATGAGCTGGACTCTTCAGGATTGGCCATGGAGTCGCGTGTCAGCAGCCCCATGTCCCCTGACCGGATGGGGGAGGAGCTGGCCTCCATGGAGGGAGTCGGGGTGGTGTCAGTGTCCGACTCCCAGCAGCAGCTCGGAGGGGGGAGGCAACCTCAGCACGAGGGACTGCCCGGGGTGGACTCGTCCGGCGGGGTTATGCCCCTCCATGGACCCACTGTTCTCGAACTACCTGTGGTGATGGAGCCGGATCACATGGGGGGTCGAGTGGGGAACACCGGAGGAGGAGCGGGAGGACTCCACACAAATGGGGAACTGAACTCAGGCGTAGTCAGTGTGGTGCTCAACCAGGGCCAGCTGGAGCCGGTGTCGCTCCACGGACACTCTGGGATGGGGATGGAGGCGGTCAACGTGTCCCCCATCACTGCAGAGGTGTCCCTGGGGCCAGAAAACAACCTGGTGCTGGTCAACTCCACCCTGCAGCTGGAGGACTCTACCTCCAACAAGGAGAACATGGTCACTGCCTACACCATCTGTGAGTGTTTATTTTGTGTATTTTTTAAACCTTAAAAATATCAATGGATTTCAAAATCATGTTTTCTAGGTCTGACAAAAGCTATGAAGCTCTGAACAAAAATATTATTCCTCCAAATTGAAGCCTGCCTTTCTTTCCCTAACCCCTCTTATAAGTGTTCTTACTTTCCCATGTTTGTTTCCACTAATACTCTTTTAACAGTTATTGTAGAAATCAGTCTCAAACTTAAAGTAAAAAGAGCATGATGTACACAAAGCAGGGACTTGACTCTGTATAAGGACTTGTATCAATATTAACTCATATGTTGTTATTTTCTCCCAGGGTGCACGCTGTGTGAGCGCTCGTATACCTCAGACTGCCCAGAACACGGCCCGGTCACCTTCATCCCAGACGCTCCGATCCAAAGCCGGGCACGCCTCTCTCTGCCGCGCCCGCTGTGCCTGCGCATCTCAGTGGCTGACGAACCGCTCGGTAAGGGCATTGTGACCATTTATATATCTGCTAGTTCATTATTATCCGTGGAACAGATTGATAGACTTTTTAAAGATCATCATACCTGATTCTATGCACACTAATGTAATAATAAGGGCACTTTCTGGGAGTAGTTTCACATTTTGTGGTATTTATTTTATTGTCTTTTTCTTGTAATTTTTTTGGTATTTTTGTTAACACTGTCATCTATGTGATTTACAAAATAAAATAACTACATTTATAAGAAGTTTTTATATACGGAAATTATTTTTCATATAGAAAAAGCTAATGCATAGGTAGACAAAGCTTTTGGTAGACTATGAATTAGCTTGCTGACATAATGTGCCCCCTTTTTTAGGAGTTTTTGCACGGGACGTCATTCCTCCAAGGACCTGCTTTGGACCAATGGCGGGCCAGCACTGTAGCAACGTGGATCTCTCTGATTGGCCAGAAAAGGACATGCCACAAATATGGAAGGTCAGTGCGGTAGCTTTTTTTTTGTATTGGACTGTGGGTTTTCCAGTCACAATCACTGCAAAACTATATTAAGTGATAAACCCGTCTCTTTGTTTCAGATGTACCACAACAATGTGCTGGAATTCTACATCGTGACAACGGACGAGAACGAGTGCAACTGGATGATGTTTGTTCGCAAAGCAAGGTAAAGAGTAAAATATGTATTTCAATGCAACCAGAATTTTGATTGACATTTTTGCCACAATGAACTGTAATTGTCCTGTTATAATAAAGGCAAACCCAATAAAGAGAAATGCGACATTGTCAGCGCTCGTGATCAACGTTTGCAATGCAATTTCGCCAATATGTAAATAAACATGCGGTGTTTATGTGTGTGTGTTTAGGAGCCGTGAGGAGCAGAACCTGGTGGCTTACTCTGCCAACGGTAAACTGTTCTTCTGTACAACCACAGAGATCCACCCGGACCAGGAGCTGCTTTTCTACTACAGCAGAGACTACTGCAGGCTGATGGGTGAGATGACAGATGATTTTAAATGTTATAATGCCGGTTATCCACTGCTTGATGTTGACCGTTAAACCATCTTTTGTGTCTCCACAGGTGTTCCTCAAGTGCCAGAGGGCCAGATCTGCCAATGTGGCAAAGAGTGCTCCTCCTTCTCCGAGCTCAAGTCTCACCTTGGCAGCCATAACAGCAACCACAGCCATAACCAGCCTCCACACAGCCACAGCCCAGCGCAGCAGGACCACTCTCAGCAACAGCAGCTGCAGCAGCAGCAGCAAGAGCAACAGCAACAACACCAGGAAGAGAAGACGGCCAATGGGACCTCAAGCTCCTCCTCCTCCCCATGGCCCTGCCATGCCCACGCTGCAGGACAATTACACAGCAGCAGCAAAGGCAGCAGTGATAGAAACTCTAACAATGTAACACCCAGAGGAAAAGGTCAGGGTCATGTTCGGGAGAAGAAATTCAAGTGCAGCATGTGTTCCCGGGCTTTCATCACATCCACCAGGCTCAACGTGCACTTCATGGGGCACGTGGGCATGAAACCTCACAAGTGTGATTACTGCAGTAAGGCCTTCAGCGATCCCAGCAACCTCAGGCAGCACCTCAAGATTCACACAGGTGTGTACACGGTTCATTAAAGGGGCCATATTATGATATATGACATATTTTTCTTTAACTTTTTGAACATTAAATCATGGAAACATGTCATAGTAGAGACACTAAATACAAATATGAACTGGAAAATGATCATAATATGGCTTTTTCTTTTTGTCAATAACAGGTCAGAAGAACTACAGATGCACTGTTTGCGAGAAGTTGTTCACCCAGAAATCCCATGTGGCGTCGCACATGCTCATCCATACCGTTGCAGAGAAATTCAAGTGTGACCTCTGTGAGCGAGCATTCATCAGGAAACATGACCTGAAACAACACATGTTCTCTCATACACAGTACGTTACTTATTTATTGTACTTTATACAAAGCTGTAGAACTAAACAGATGGAGATATTTAGCAAATAAGGTTATTTAGGTTATATAATGTGTGTTTTTTGTCCTTTTCCCCCGCAGTGAGCGCCGGATACAGTGCCCAAAGTGTAACAAACATTTCCTCAAGAACAACCACCTGAAGAAGCACATGAACTCTCACGAGGGCCGACGAGACTTTGTCTGCGAGAAATGCCACAAAGCTTTCCTCACCAAATACCACCTTACCCGTCACCTCAAAATATGCAAAGGGCCCAAGACTGAGAGAGCGTCGCGGAAGGAGCAGGAATTAGAGGAGGAAGAAGATGAGGAGGAGGAGGAAGAGGAAGAGGAAGAAGAGGAGGAAGATGATGGTAGGGGAAGAGGAGCAGACTCAGCCAGCAATGAGGACTGTGGTTTAGACGTTGGAGGATATAACTCTGAGAAGTCCCTGTCACCCCCTCATTGACCACACTGTGCCTTTTGAGATTTTATTTATATAATTTACTAGAAAACTGATGTTTACCTCCAGTTTTTGCCAAATGTCAGTTACATTGTCCCATATTCACTGCATTGCAATTACCACATTGTACATCAATATATATCAAGTCTCACAAGCTTATCAGTGCTGCTAAAATAATATTTGCCATATTATAAGAGAACTGATAAACATCTGACTATATTTCTACAAAGCTCTCCTTTCTCTTCATTACCTCAGACCTGTGTAATATGAGTTTCTTTTGACTCACTCGATAACATGGGATGAATGGCTGATGTTTATTTGTAGTTGCATAATAATGTCAATTCAAACTTCTGATGCCATATTCTTGCATTTTAGACCTGATATGTTATTGCTAACTGGACTGTACTTTACTCTATTTATTTAAAAATCATGATTTTGTATTTCTTTTTATTTAAGTAAAAATGTCAATGTGTGAATGAAAGTAAGACTCTTGGAAACGTGAAGCTGGGCATTAAATTCATATTCCTTTTTGTTTCTGTTGGAAATGATGAAATGTTATAGCTCCATCCTATCTGTTGCGTTATGTTTGAATAAATGGACAATAACCGCTGCTTTATGTTGTTGATTGATTTACATAAGTTGAAAGCATAAATAACTACTTCACTGAATGTTCCATCACATCCTCATTGCATGAAATACCATTTGGATAACATTGAGCAATAATGCCCTCATTTGGCAGTATGTTTGAGTAACTTACTTTGATATGTTTTCTGACTAAAAGCAGACTATTTATCATAAATGAATACATATGATTGCTTTGCTAAGTGTGCTACAAACACATTTTTAAACACTATCAAAAAAGTATTATAACAAATTCAATGTGTCTAACAATCTTCAGTACTATCTGTAACTGTCAGGGAACTAAATAGCCCTTTTCCTTTTGTTTCTGACTACTTCTAAATATTATATTGCAGTTCCTGGAGACTTATGTAATAGTATAAAACATTTAAACTTACATTAAAGTTATTTAAAAGGATAAAGTTCCGACCGGAAGTACATAGTGTAGCTTCCGGTTAAAATACAAAAACATGCAGCGGTGCAGCTATCATTCACTGTAACGTGGTATGAATTATCTATATTTCATGCATTATCTATTCGTATTTTGGTTGTTTTATTGTATCGGTAAAGCACACATGTGTTTTCGGTGTTTTAAATGTCCACTAAAATCTAAACATTCCCCCACGTATTCGCAGTGTTTATATTTAAGCTAGCTAACTTGCTAACCGTTTAGCTAGCATGTCTGCTAACTGTCCTGCACTACCAGCATTTGTGTCATGTTGCCACAGTTTGGTGCCACTATGTTTTATTTGCAAAAGGATATGGATTTATTTGTAACACAAGCTACACGTTATTAGTTATTTCTAACTTGTAAGATCTCTCCTTGAATGTAGCTTGGACAAAACAATACTGGCACTTGATGTGTATTTGGTTAATTGTGTAATTTATATTAATATTTTATGCATGCTTCTTAATTAATATTAAGCTGTCTTTGGCTCGTTGCTGTAACAATGTACATTTCCCTTCTGTGGGACGAGTAAATGTATTCTGATTTCTTGTTTGTCTGACAGTGTCTTTCTGTGCTTCTTGCCTCAGCCTGAACAGATCAGATCATGTTGACTCCAGTGAAGGACGGGATGCCCAGCATGATAGACAGGGCGCTGAGGATGAGGAGGGAGGAGCAGGCTCGACAGGTGGTCCTGGCCTGGGCCGTGCTGAACGTATCTCTAGCTGGCATGATTTACACTGAAATGTAAGTTGTTCAGCAATGTTATCTACGGCAAACATGAGCAACTGTTTGTAATGAAGCACTGATTTACTAACCACCATCTTCCATCTGTCCAGAGCAAAGTATAATGATATGTTTTTACTATATTTTAGGTCAGGACAGTTGCTGAGCCGATACTACAACATCACCTACTGGCCTATCTGGTACATCGGTGAGGTCCCACTGCTCACTCATTTATTAATGGATGTCTGATGGACAAAAAGCCTTCATCTAAATGATATTAAAAAAGAAAATCTGAAATTGACTCTAACGGACAGACATGTTTATAATATGTTCTGGAAGATCCTGTCAAAAATGTGTTAATCTTCTTTCCTTGTTTGCAGAACTGGCGCTCGCCTCTCTGTTTAGCCTTAATGCTCTATTTGACTTCTGGAAATATTTCAAATACACCATGGCTCCCTCCTCCATTGCTGTATCCCCTGAGCAGCATAAACTCCTGGGTCTGAGAAACACAAGTGAGCCTCTGTTTTTTTACCTGCAACATTTCTTATTAGATGTAAGTAAAGAAATGTAGTTCTAAGTATGCTGCTTGTTGTCTCTCCCCTCCTAGGTATTCTTGCCTCTCCGCCCCAAAAGCCTGAAAAAAAGGAGACCCCAGCCCCGGCCCAGTCGTCTCCGCTGCAGGGCCAAAGTGTTCTGAGTTTCAGCCCCTCAAGACCGGCCACTACCAGCCCCAAGTTCTCCCCGAGCTGTGTACCCGGGTACAGCCCTCCGCTCGGCAGCCCATCCACCCCAAACAGTGCAGGGGGGGCCTTTTCCCCCTCAGTTGCCTTTGGAAAGGTACGTCCCTTACATCACTGTTATCTATCCTAGCCTGTGGGGTTGTGGTGGGTCAATGTATTTAATGACTCCTTCTGTGTTTCTCCTCTTCACATTGAGCACATTATGTCCTTCCTTTCTCAGGTGTTGAACTACAGTCCCTCCCCTGGCTCCTCTCCCTACGCCAGCAGCATCGGACCAGCAGAAGGCTCCAGTCTGAGAGCCCGATACCGCACGTCCCCCTCAGTGTTTAACTCCCCTGGAAGCAAGGAGGACTACATGGAGGATTTGAAAAGCCTGGAGAGGTTCCTCCGAACAGAGGGGGAGAGGAGTCACCGCAGCCAGCTAGGTACAGTTGGAAAACAAATGTTTACATTGTATTACCGTCTTTAACAGTGGTGGATGGGTAAGAAAAAAATATGAATGCTACATTGTACAATTAAAATGGTTTGGCTGCTGATGAGGAAGTATTTTTATTTTTTTTAAAACAACACACCTCTTTCAGATAGTTCTGTCATTTGAAAAAGTAAAAAAACCTTGATGTGACCTAAGGTTGTACAAATGTCACTGCTAGTATAAACAGCAGATCTAGACTAAGAGTTTGTTTTTTCAAGGTTTTTGTAAAGAATTATCTCAATCTCCGTTATTGTGGAGATACGTGACAATATTTATAACCACAGAATGAACATTGATGCTCTCAATAGGGAGTCCAGAGGCTGTGTCTCCGAGCCACAGCCCAACATTTTGGAACTACAACCGCTCCGTGGGAGACTACGCCCAGAGCCTGAGGAAGTTCCTGTACCAGCCGGCCTGCCGCTCTCTGGCTCCGTCTGCCAGCAAGGACGAGACGGACCTGGGCTCCAAACAGGCTGCAGAGGAGGTCTGTGAATAAGCGGTGTTGGTGTACCGTTGTAAAGAAAATGTATATGGATGAGTTAGTCGGTGTCTTAGTTGAATGCATGATTGACATTATATATTTCCCCCTCCTGTTATTCAGGTGTGGGCCAGAATCACAACCAGTCGCCCTGTAGTGGACCGCATTGATAGCTGGACTGCCAAGCTTCGAAATGTGAGTGTTCATACATATTCACCTAACACAAAAAAAACGTTATTAATGAAAAACATTTATTCCATATAAAAGAAAAATCTGTGACAAACCTTCCACATTGATTGTGTAGGAAACTACGTTAGAAATACTAGATATATCTGAAAGGTGTCATATATATTATTATACCATTTGTAATTTCATCTCTTTATAAAAAACGTATTTTTCCACAAGTATGATAATGTACTTTCTATTTTATTTTGTACCCAACATTGCAACTTCAATGTAAATTGTGCATCATTCCTTTTCAATTACACAAAGCTTTACAAAAAAGGAAATGAACCTTAATATGTGTCTCTGCAGTGGATCAGTGACACCATCTTGGTCCCCCTGGTGAAGGAAATCGACTCCGTCAACAGCCAGCTCAGGAGGATGGGCTGCCCTGAGCTGCAGATAGGAGGTAAACCATAGCCATTATATCATATTTATATAAGTCAAGGTTCAAATGCTTTATTGTCAGATGCACAAAAGTTGTAGCATATATTTGGCAATGAAAGTCCAACAAAGCAACATACGAAATACTTAACGTAAAAATAAACTGCATTTCAATATTTGATTTCAACATGCAACGTTTGATTGTAGGAAAATGTTTTTTGAAGCAACAGAGCTTATCTTTTCATATTTATTTCTATATACCAGCAGGGATAAGTGAAATGTGCAGCAAGAGAGAAGTTTGTTAAAGAAATGTTTATACTAGGGATGTGCATCTCCATCACCGAGTCCGATGCGATGCGCATCTCGATACGTTGCCAACGATACTATACATTAACGATACATTTGAAACACCAGGCGATGCGATACGATTCACCCCTGTTGCGATACAGTTCGATACGATTTGATTCAACATTATGCGATTCGGGGCGATACGATGCGATTCAACACAATGCAAAATAATGATACAATTCAATATGGTACGACAGAGGATTTGGTTTTATTCCTTATATGCCACAAATCATAAATTAAAGGAGACATGTCATGCTTTTCCGGTTATTACCCGTCCCCTTGTGTGTGATGAAGGTTTGTATGCATGTAAACGGTCTGCAGAGTCAAAAACTCTCAAAGTACACCCTGTAGCGAGTAAAACTTTAACACAGAAAAGACCTCCCCAAAACGCCTCGTTGGAGATTTCTCATGTTCTTCATGGACATTGTGACGTCTGAACACTCAGTAGCCACGCCCAGAGCTATGACCAGGCTGATTGGTACAAATTAACCAATCCACGGACTTCCTCACACACACACTCAGTGCAGGCAGCTCTGCTGATTTCTCCTCCCTGGCTGCAGGCTGAGAACAGACAGTTGGGATCGCGGCGAAATTCTCTCTGCAGACCCATTCTCTCTGCAGACCCATTCTCTCTGCAGACCCATTCTCACAGCGTTTATCAACCTTTTTCTTACTCAATATCAAGCCACACTTATTGTTTTTACTTCGGCTGTGACTTTGTGTGTGCTCAGGATGAGTTTGGCTGTGTTTCGCTGTGTATCGCTCAACAAGGAAACAACACCTCCACGGAGCTCAGCACGATTCACAACGTCCCGACCAATCACACTGTGCTCACAGGGAGGGTGGGGGCTGGAGCTATTGGAGCTACAACGAGCCGTTAAAGGCAGAGAGTGAAATTCAGTGAATACACGCAGTTTACAGAGATGCTGTGAGAAACCAATGTGAGTTTGGAAAATTGAACAATATAAATCTATTCTAGTAGACCTCAACAATGGAATTATGATCAGTGGAAATGGCCATGACATGTCTCCTTTAACAAAAGTGCGTTACATATTTGGTTCCCTCTACTAGTACTGCGCATCCCATCATGCTGTTTATTTTTTACCTTAAAAAAAAAACACTTGGACGTTTCACAAACAGGCCTGTTCACAAGTCCTTTGTAGTAGTGTTCTCTGTC